GGCGGGGTGACTCCTCTCCCACGCGAGGAGGGGGAGCTTCGTGTCTCAGTAACCTCTGTCAGTCTGGAACTCTTAGAATACATTTCTCCTCAGATCTCTCCTTTTCACTTGATTTTAAATGGACCGGTCAGTTTCCTTTTTTTAAAACTTCCAAGTACCTTACTCTGTTGCAGTATTTTCGCTGATTTTTGCCTGTTTAACAGCAAAAATGCAGCTGGAGTGGGAGCCCAAGTGGTTCTGCAGGCCGGGTGCTCCCGTTCCACTGGTGGGATCCACACAAAGCCACTCTTTTGTTTACTTGGTGCTGCTCAAGTAAATGTAATTGGAAGATGTGTGTGTGCTTAATGGTTCTGTTCAAACTGATGGTGGTAATAACGTATGTGACTGAGCAGGCAGGGAAGTAGAATTCATTTAGCTTTGCTTTAAGTCTTCACAATGTAGTTTAGCAGGTTTGCAGCTCTGTGTATATTCAGAGAATGGCTTGAAGGTATTTCTGGAATTTCATATCAATTTGACATACACGATTGATAGCTAGATCTTAAAACTAGAATCCGCTGTCTTAAGAGCAGCTTTGACTGTAAAAACAGAAAAGGAGATCAGAATTTGTTCTTGAACCATTTTTATCTCTTACACATCACCCTGTCATTACTATCAATAGAACTGGACTTGGGATGTTAAGCTCAATATGGCAACATCTGTTTCTTTCAAGTTTATCTCTTTCTTAAGTTTCTTTCCTGTGCTATACAAATATTTAACTAAGATAAATAATAGGGATTAAGGCCAATACAAAATCTGATCTCCTTACAAAGCTGTATTTGCATAGTTTAAGGGCTGCAGGCTGACTTCTGTGCATTCTGGAAAGGAGCTGCTTCACTAACAGCTTTATCTGACTTGGATGTGACAGGCACGTTCCTGCTGTATCAAAGCTGCTAATCCCCCTGTTGCAAGATGTGGGGCAGCAGTGTAAACACTGGTCTTATCTCCCAGATGAGTGAGTGATCTGCTCAGCTAGGCTAGATGATAGTCTGAATTGCGTTCAATTAATGAAATATTCATTAGAATAAATCCTGCAGTCCCAGGCTTCCTCCACTTAGATAAATATATGGACAATTTGATTATAGACTCAAATGCTGGATCTGCCCTACAAAATATGTTTCATTTTCAACATCTGTTTTAGTCACTGAATCCATTAAGTCATGCTGATGAAAAATAATTTCTTGCTGAAGTGTTTTTTGCTGGATTAGACTTTAAAAACAAAAGCAGGTGTAGTTCAGATCAGGCTTTGTGTGGGTTGCAGTTTTAATGGTGGAGTGGGAAGGTGCTTAGTAAGTATTATTAGGCAGTTATTAAAGAAGAAAACAGTAACAAACAGGGAGGTCAGCTGGGAGTAGACAAGAAGTTGCATACTTGATGCTGAATGGGAGTTGTCAGAAAGAAGTGCTGGGAAGAGTGCAGGACATTTCCAGAGTTGCAATGTGAAGTACAATTCTTTTTTTATTCAGGTGCCCTTTGAGCAGATGACACACAGCTGCATAAACTGAGCCATGTAATGATGCCTACCTCACACAGCTGTTTCAAAGACTCCATTTTCAGTCGGTGGCAGCCTAGACCTGCAGTTTAAGCTCCTTGATAAGGCAAAGGGCTGCCTTTGAGCAGTGTTTAATTTACTTCTGCAGAGCTTTGTAGATTAGTGATAACCAATGTCTGCTTTGCTGTTGGTATCAAGTGGTTGGTTTGTGCTGTTGTGTTTATGTACATTTTAAAAAATTCTAGAGGGAAGGGAAATTTGAGACTGGTGTGTGTGTCTAGTTCATGTAATTGTGTATTTTGTAGTTCAGGGTTCAGTTTTCTTCACTTTTTTTGGTCTAGTTTTGTTTTATCCTTGATGTAGAAGCCAAATGCTACTCCCAGCCATGGCAAGCTTCATCTGGAGTGATTCATGGCAAACTTTGCTCTCATCTGCTTGATCTAAATGAAGAATGTTGCTCAGAATACATTATCTTCCAGTATAGCTTAAATGTCCAAATCCTTTCACCATGTTATGAAAAAATAACAGATGAAATGGCATACGGCAGGTGTCTGCTGTCAGAGCAGAGGGCACACATCTGATAGGCTGTGTAGGAGTTGTCTATCCCTGTGAGAAATTTTGTGAGCAGGATCTTTTCCTGGCTGGGCTGAGTTCTGTGCAGTGTGAAGGGCTCTCACCACCCATTGTGAGAATTGTATAATATTAACCAGCTTGTGGGATTTGTCTGTATTGTTGGAAAGAGCCTTCAAACATCACCTGCCGTTTCCGTATTTCAGCTGCCAAATGTAACTCATAAATTCTGATGAGATGACTGGATTGCTTGCAATTAACAAGACAATACGTTATGGGTAAGAGGTTTTGACACATTAAATTCTTAATCACTAGTTTGTCTGGAGCTAAGGGAAGCTTGTTGAAATAAAAGCACACTGTTTGTGTGGGTTTTTTATAAAACTTACATGTGGTAACTAGGTAAATCTATCAAATGCTTATTTTAAAATCTACAGACTAGAAAAAAAACATAATGGAAGTGTTAGCATATGCCTTTTGAAATTATCCTTATAAACACAGACCCGGAATGACTGGTCAGGTTGTTAAAAATCCCAAACCCAGTTGTGCCACTGAAATCCACAGCAGCACTGGACTCTCCCGGTTAGAATCCCCATCCTTCTCCCAGCTACAAAATGTTACATCTGGAGAGCACTGCAGGAGATGACAGAGTAGCCTGAGCTGTGCCCCTTGGGAAGGATGGGAAGTTGGAGGTATCCCAAGGTTGTCCTCCACAGCAGTACCTCCAGCAGCACACCAGCCCTGCTGAGGGAGCAGCTCCAGTGGCCTTGGTGTGGCATCCCCTGCAGGGCCAGGAGCTGCCTGTGGGGAGGTCAGGCTGGCACCCAGTCAGAGTTTCTGTTCCCTCCCAGCCTGTGCAAGTCCAGCCTGCTGGGCTGGTATGGGAGGAAGGGCAGGCAAATCTGTGTTTGTGAAGGAGTGAGGGAAATGTATCTGCATCAAAGTTCTTTGGAAATGAAAGAGTTTGGGTATCTTACAAATAAGCATAATTTTATCCAAACAAAGCATTCTTAGCTTTGTATATTATTCTGCAGGTGATTAGCCAGTCCTTTTGAATATTAAACTTAAAATGCTCTAGTGTTCACTGTTCTGAACATGTTCCTCTGAGAACACACGGGCAACTAGATAGGAAAACCTTCCACATTGTCCTCTCTGGACCAGACACCAGGAGTTGGGTGTTCCACAGCCCTGCGGCAGTGAGATTTAGTTCAGGCAATTTTGTTCAGCTTTTCAGTTGAATGAATTGAAAATGTGTCTTTTAATTTCGTACACAATGCTGATCTGGTTTTCATGTGCCCTGCCATGGCAGTCAGCTCTCAACAAGAACAATGACTGCTCTCCCCAGCCCTGGTGGGGTCCTGCAGAGCCAGCCACGCCTGGCTCAGCGTGGAGCTCAGAGGTGCTGGGAGCCAGGCTGTGCCTGCTCTGGAACTGGTGGGAGGGAAATACCAGTGGACCTCCATTTGTAAAGTATTTTACTTTTTAGCTCAAATCCATATGTGTCAGAGCGATGCAAGAATTGGGCTGTGTTTTCTATGCCTCCCTGTTGTCTCTCTTTGGAGTTATGTCCTGGCACAGACAGTTCTGTTGGTGTTGGTGGGTTTCCTTCCTTGATGGACCATCCTCAAGTACTCAGTTTGTGGGAAGAGGGCAGTAATCAGCTTTCTCAGTTTCCTGCAGCACTTACAATTTTAAAATTTCTTCATTACTGTGATTGCTGCTAAAACAGTTTATTTTCTACTTTGACTCCTCTTTCCTGGTGCTGTTATGATTCATTCTTGGGACATTTGGAAGATTGCTTCAGGCTTCCTAAACTTATGCAATAGTTCACAACTGGAAGCCTGACCTACTTCAGAGTTACTCTTACCCAGTTAAGGATGTCTCAGACTGAACATAAACCTCCCAACTACTGCCCATGGGCTGAGGGAAGAAATGATTTGTAGTGAAAATTGAAAATCTGTACTGTGGGAAGGAATAGGTAGTGTGCTGTAAACTAGCAAACTGCGTGATGCTTAGGTTAGATTCGGTGGGTTGGATTCACTTCAAGCAATGTGTACAGTTTGTTACTACTGGTGGCAGTCCACAAAATGGAGGACAGTGCCCACCATTGCTTGTAGACAGTGCTGGGAAGAAGAGTTAAATAATCTGTTGGAACATGAACACAACTGCTGCCATTTCTGGATTTCTGTCATTTAAAAAGGCATATTTCATTTTTCATTCAAGAATGTGCAGATGTCCCGTGTGTGTCTTTTCATAGGTGTCAATGATGGAGTTTTGTGACCAGGTTTTGAAGCAATTGCCACCGCTGGGTGCATTGGCTGGTGCCTGGTGTGGGTTGCTGGCAGTTCCTCTGTCCCTCTTGTTTTGGTGTTTGAGCAAAATACAAATTTTCTTCCCCTGATGAAACAAAAGGTGTTTTAGATGTACATCCATATAAACCAACTGATGTTTATAGATAACATGGAAGACTGTAAGTAGAAGACAGTGTCTGTGGAACAGCAGGGAGATGTGATCCCGAAGGCCTAGTCCAGTATGTCAGCTTTGATTTGTTCCTTATTCTGTTGGTACTCACAGAAAATAGGGATTCATTCCCTCAGACCTGCCAGGAGGTGATTGAAGGAAGACAGACTGCTAAACCTGGGAGTCCAGACTGCGCACTGCTTCCCTTGGGTCCAAGGGCCCTGGCTTTAAATCACTTGTAGGGGATTTTGACCAAGGGATCTCTGTACATTTACAGCTGGTTCATGTTCAGATTAATTTGAGAATCTGTGTAAGCTTGATCTCTAACAATAAAACATTTTGCAGATTAAAGTGCAGTAATCACTGAATTGTTACTTATTTCCTTCCTTGCAGGGCACTTTTCGAAGGATTATTATCGAGAATCCTGATCAGGTAGGAAAACTGTTAAGTGCTGGAGTTCTGATTGTGTAGCTCTTCTTCCCTTAATTACCCTGACTGGGCAAAGTGCTCAGCTGCCTCCATCAGGGGATGTGAAATGTTTTGAAAGCACATGGCCCACACCTCTGGAAGAGGAAAGTAATAGGGACTGAAAAGAGAGCAGAAGTGCTAGTCAGGTTTCCCACCTCTCAGCAGTAAGTCTCTAGTAACATGCTTCAATTTCTAACTGTTTCTGCCACATTTATTTCAAACCTTGTCTAGATGTCAGAGTCACTTTGTTTCCATATGGACATACACTCAAATGTATATATCTTAAAGAACTATCTCAAAGTGTATGTGTCTTCAAGTTATATTTTATAGTCAGAATTGCACTAATTCTGAACTTGACAAGATTTGTGAATGTTTTTATTAAAATGTTTTACAGGAGCAATTATCCCCATTATTTCTTAGAGGGGGGAATTTCTTTCCTGGAAATAATGTCATCTATGAAAAGACAATAAGAAAATATGAGCTGTTAAATCCCCACCAAGTAAGTTGGTTATTATAATAATTTGGTTATTATTAATACTATCTATTGCAAGAGAAAATTGAGATTTTAGCTCTTTTCTTGTTTTTACTCATTCTTGAAAAAAATGTATTTGAAAAAGCTATCTGGAAACTTTGTCTTAGAATTGGTATTTTGTCAATAGTAAAAATATTCCTACTTATTGCTGTGAAATACTGTTACTTTCAACAGGAAAAATGTTGAATTGTAAGCTATTTCAGAGTGATTAATCTTACCTGTTTGCAGTTTTTGTTTGTTTATAACAGAAGTTTTCATTCCATTCTGGATTTTAGATAGATAAATTAGGTGTGATATCCTTACCCTAAGTGACAAGCAAAAAAAAAATAGAGCTAATGATGAATCTCAGCTTCCTTCTTCCCATAGAATAGTGGAAGTATGGGGTCTAGTCCTAGAAACTATTTGTATATCTGGTTTTTGTTACCCAGGGTATTATCTAGATTTATGTAAAAGCAGGAGTGTTGTTTTGGAGGAAATTTCCCAGTATCCTGCTCCTATACACCCTGTGTGCTCCTCTCATGAGAATGCAGTTCACTCCAAATCCAATGGAAAACCTCCTCCCATAGCTGGAATGTCAGGTTGGGTCCTCACTCTGCTCCCCTGGTCTCTGCTGTGCAGGTGTTGGGTAGACCCTGTGCTCTGGTTTTGGTGTGGAATTGGAAGCTGGTTCAACTTTTTAAATGCAGCATTGTGAATTTAAAGTTAAAATCACCTGAAGCCCAGGATCTGCATTTGCATGTTTCTATGTAGAATACAAAATCCGTTTGTTTTTTTTGTTTGTTTGTTTGTTTGGGTTTTTTTGGTGTTTTTTTTTAAGTAAATGTGTAACAGCCATGATCTAGAGAAACACTGTAAGTTTGCTGGAATCTGTAGCTTTCAGGGTTTTGACTTTGAACATAAATTAGCTTCTAGTTTATTGTTTTGGCATGTGGTTTTGTAAATAGTGCTTTTCTTGATTGTAAAAACAAGACAGGTGTCCCTTACATTTAGGACACTCTGAGTTACAATTGCTGAAAGCATTTATGGAGGAAAATGTCTTGAACCAGTTGTACTAAACTCTTTCCTAACTACAGTGATAAAAACTGAGTTCAACTGGAGCTCTTTTTTACCTCTAAAATCCTTAATGAAACAGGATATACATATGCTTAAAATTAAATACCAGGAGTTCCCATTGCCTCAGTAAATTAAGAGTAACAACATAATGGAACATACAACTCAGGAAAGATGTATCTTCTATGCTTGTCATTTGCAGCTACTAGCATTTGGGAATTAGAACCCTGAAGTATGAAAGTGTGAGACAAACTCATGTTCAATTAGGGAAAAAAAGGAATTTTATTAGGATTATTTAAATATCTGAAACTCTCATCAGTCTTTCAATGTAAAACCACATTTCACTAATTTATATATTGATATTAAGCTTCTGTCTCATTAAGGTGTGTCCAGCAGCTTAAAAAAATTGGTTCTTGTTTTTAGGAGAAGCAGTACCAGTTGTGCCAGCAGGCTGACCCGTGCCATGTGTCCCAGCCCTGTCCACAGCCCGAGCAGCCCCGGGTCACCCAGCAGTGCCAGCAGACACAGACCAGCAACCCCTGTGACCTGATGCCCGTGACTGTGGGCGATGAGTGCGGGGGCGGCTCCGTCAGGAGGGTCACAGTGCAGACCTGCCAGCCTGTAAGAATCCTTAGTTGAATGTTTTGCTGTTTTCAGGGTATTTCTGGTTTGCATGCAGAGTACAGAGCTTTACAGACACATACAATTGCTGATCCCCAATGTCAGAAGTCCTTGGTCAAATCCTAGTAGGGTAATTAAGCACCATCAGTTTGGGTCTGTTGCAGGCAACTTCTTTGTATGCTGAAATTGCAGACCTTGTCTGGAACTGTCCCAGACTTTGGCACATGCTGTGAAAACAAAACAAAACAAAACAAAAAGTTGGTTAGGTGATGTATTCTATTTCTTATGGGCATAGACCTGCACTTAATTGTGCTGACCATCATTCTACCTCCCTTTAAATTTGTTAAGTCTTGCTGGCTTTTGTTTTTGTTTCTTTATCTGGGAGTTTATCTGTTTTCATCTTGTTAGTCTTTGTACAACAAATATAAGGTTTATGCTTCCAGTTTTGGAGAATAGAGACATTGCTTTATAAAGTGGACATACATCAATTCAGGATAGCTAGCTGCACTGATCAGTGAGGATTCGAAATGCATTTCAAGTTGACATAGAAGTATTGACATATGTCCACTGGAAGCACCAAACTGGCTTCCTTTGCCCTTCATGTTGCAGCAGGTTGCAGGTTCTGGAGTTTCTAAGGGCTGCAGGAGCCCTGCTGTGCACATACACTGTTACTTCAGTTGTGGGAGGGAGTGTAGCAGTCCCTCCTGTGCATCTCTTTACTTTAGAGGTGGTGAGACAAACATACTTGGTGACCTTACTCTTAGAGCTGTGTGGAATCTTCTAGAGCCAGATAACTCCCATGAACCAGGTTAGGTAAACTCAGTTGGGGCTGCTCTTTAAATTCTTCTGTTGTTCATATGCACAAACAAACATTTGAACTTCAGTTGAGGTGTTTTAAGGTCTTGCTGGGCTTAAGAAAAGGAGGTGGCTTCTGTCAGTGCCCTTTCTGTAGATGCTTTTGAAACAGAGTCTGGGAAGGAAAAGAACTTCCTCACTCAGCCATTGGATATACTCCAAGGCATGACTGTGTGCAAAAGCCCTGGGAATGTGGCAACACACAGACCATTTTTGCAGTGGGGAATTTTGCACCCAGCTGGGTTTATTCAGGCGCTGCACACAGCATCTTGCCCTCTACAGCTATGGAAACATGTATGTTACTGAAAGAGTTCATCATTCTCAGGTCTCTGCTTGTTAGAGTATTGCTGATGGCATTGCTGAGGAAGAGAACACTTGTGTCGTGGTTGTTGTAAGGGCAGTGATTTCTGTGTGGTTCTGAAACCCAGACTGCACAGAAGGCTCAGCACCAGGAAAAAGAGCAGTGTAAGCAAATTGTTAGAGCAAACAGCCAATCCATAATACTTGAGCATCTTCAGTTTCAGTTTTTGTCCTGAGGAAGGGAACCCAGCTCTGATTCTCCTCCTACTTGCCAGGTGAACTGCTCCCAGGAAAGCAGTGACCAGCTGGACTGCCGCTACTTCGGCGAGCTCCTGGCTGAGCTGCACCGCAAGACCAGCGACCTGCACAGCTGTTTGCTGCAGCACGTGGAGAAAATCGGAGGAAGGTACTGGCATTGTCTGCTCTCTCCTTTTGGTATCCTAGCAATCACAGCATTGCACAGTTCAGAGGATACTGTTCTTTGTTTTTTCCCCCACAGCTAGGATTGACTATGTACTGTACATAATAATTTGCTGGGTAACTGAGGGCATTCAAATGCTGTAAGCCAAGAATATTGATTTTGATGCTTTTTCAAACTGTTCAGTCTAAAACACAGTAAGAATTCTGTATCCTACTCCTGTTTGCACATAAGAGCAGTAGAGTATACCTACAGCATGCTCTGACAAATGTCTTACTGAGTCCTGAAGAAAAAACCCAGATGTCCAGCCATTTCCTTTGTTCTGTCCTGGTGTTCTGTTATGTCCTGGCCATCATAAGGCATAAAGCTCAGTATCTAACTGCAAAATAATGCCAAGCATGTGTCCTGCAGAGCCCTACAGATTGTCTTTCAGAAGAAAGGCAGGATCACACCAGTACTCTGAGTCACCAGTGTTCTTACCCCTCCCTTAGAAGCACCACTGCTTCGTTCTCCCCCGTGCTCCCAGGCTCCTATGGTGCTTTCCAAGTTGCCTGGAATAAGTGGTCTCAAAGCAGGGGAGAAGTGGAATGGGAGCATCATAACACACCTGACACTGCTAAGGAAACACTTCAGCCTTGTCAATACACTGCAGCATAGTTCTAGGTACACCATCACCCAGCTAATTAAGAATATAATGGGATTAACTGGACATAACTGGGAGATCTGCCCCAAGAAGCAGATAATCAGCCTGTGTTAATTGGGCTGCTGTTAGTATTCCAGGCTGCTCAGATAGGTCTCTGTGGAGTCATATTTAAAAGCTCCTGCTGCCAGGCACCTTAAAAGGCAGGTACTTCATCTGATAAAAACCTTCCTTGCTCCATATTTTAAAGATAATCTTTTTATAGTTGTGCATGTGGGGATGAATTCTTACAAGTTCTCAACAAGCTTTCTGTTAATTGGTCCCTTGGATTTTGTGTTTTACAGGAACCATGACTTGGAATTCACCTATCAGGTAAGCACCAGGTGTGCTCTCCACAAGCTGTTCCCCGACGTGCTGTGTTAACAGCATTGGTGTGGCTCTGGCAGCCAGTTTAAATGAAGAATGCTGCTCTTTGTTAGTCAGGGATTACTGCTTTTAATTCAGAGCCTAAAACCTACTGCTAGACATACATTTGCAAACATGGTAGTATCGAAAGGAAACTAGTAATTTGCATTTTTCCAGTATGATAGTAAAATTTTGAAAGTCTTTAGCAAGTCTTTCCTGTTGGGCCAATAATGGTTTTGTTGTAAGACAAACCTGTGCAGCTACGTCTATTTTCATTATGCATTTTTTGCAAAGATTTTGCACTCTCTTGCCGGTAAAGCTGCTGTTGAGCACCATGTGCAGCACCAGTGCAGGAGGTGCAGAACCCTGCCTCAGAGAGAGGAGAGGAACATGAGCTGGCAGTTTGAAAGGCTGTGTGTATGTGGCAGGAATATTTGTCTAGGACTAAATATTTGTCAAGGGTTAAATTAAACTACATGAAGCAATGCCCCAAGTCACTGGGGCTGCCTCTTGTGACACGTTGGTCATCTTTTGTGTCCTGACAGTCTCTTTGTTGAGAAACGCAAGATTTGCTCGTATCATTTATTGCTGGGAGTTGTTCCAGCATGGGCTGTTACTTTCTTGAGAGAGGATTGTTTTGAATACTGCTTTTAAAATAAATGCTAAAAGATTTGAATATATGCTTCATGCATCACTTCCTCTCAGTTTTAATGCCACAGACAAATATGAGACTTTGATCTATTTTCATTCTTATTTGCCTTGTCCTAAGCATGTTTTTCATAGTAGAGCTGTGTAACTAATGAAGAAACCACATAATGATCAGACTAAATTCTTAATCAAGATGTCTCCCCTTTCCTCTCTCTTTGCTTAGACTGAAGAGATTGAAGATTTAATTCCTAAAGGACTGTCTGAAGCAACAAAGCAGCAGATTCGTTATCTCCTGCAGGTATGAGAGTGGGGTGGAAGGGGGATGTGGAAGCCTATAGGGACTTCAAATAGAAAATGGCTTATACATAGCAGGGACTTTGTACATAACATGGTTCACTTTGTGCTCTGCTTACTCCATTTTTTCTGGTGTAAAGGATATGGCATCATACAGGTGATCCCAGTTGTTGGCATTTGGGCCCACAGATCATGTGTGTATTTTAAACTGAGCTTTACTGGTGGCACTTCGTTGCAGTTTCAGTGGAAACCTTGGCTTTTGGTGGAGAACACAGATTCTTCATCTTATTATGTATTTGTGTTGTGTACTATCACTTTACTTGAAAAGCTAAAGGCAGACAGAAGGTGCTTTAGTGAATATTGGAGATTGATTGCCAGCTACACAGAATGCTTCTATCTTAGGTTTCACCTCTTACAAACATTCTGGGTAAAACCCTCCCCCACAGCACCAAGTTCCCAGGCTTGCTTATGGTGTTTGGTAACAAAGCAACCATTTCTGCCTTGGGTCCATTTATAAAGGCTTTTCTTCTGATCTTGTTCTTCAGCTGCCCCACCATCCCAGCCTGCCTTTTCAATCACCAGCCACAGGGGTTTGGCTGGAAGGTGGTGGGACAGGAATGCAGTTTTGGTAATGGTTCTTCATTCAGTTGGCTCCCAGCACTGGAATGCTCTGCAATGCATTTTCCAGCAAAACACTTGACCTGGTTAGGAATTGCCTTGAAGGCAGATGACTGGAACTGGCCCCTGCCTTTTTGACTCAACACAGGAGTGCTGGAGCATGAATCCCACTTCATCTCCAGAACCATTTGAGGTGTAGGTGTGTTAGAACAGGATCCAAACCAACCTGCACTGCTTGGCAGGTGTGTCCAGACCTGGTCTGGAGCTTAGGTTCACTTCCTGGTAAAAAATCTATCTGAAGGAAGTTGTGAATGTCAGAGCTTGGTTTGACTTCCCAGCTCATCTGCTTTCTGCAGGAGTATGGGTAAACGTGACCTCCCAGTTCGCTTCCAACTTTTAATTATTCTGGGATTCTTTTACAAGGCAGATGGACACTGGTCCTGACCTCCTCAGCAGGAGCATGGGACAAAGTGACCTCCCAGTTCGCTTCCAACTTTTAATTATTCTGGGATTCTTTTACAAGGCAGATGGACACTGGTCCTGACCTCCTGCTAGAACCCTGTCCCAGGAAGCCAGGTCAGCTCACCAGTGTGAGATCTGAAACAGTGTGTCCTGTTACCTGTAGTCCAGCTGGCCTCATATTTGCACACCTGTGCTTAAAAAAAAATGCAGCTAAAATGTCTTTTGGGGAACCAGATTTGGTCAGCTACTTGTAGACCTGCTCTCAGACCTCTCAGATGGGGTTACATGTGGAATGTTTTGACATCCCAGCAGGATTCTGAGCCAGCTATCACACTGCTCAGGTGGAGACTGTGCTGGGTGTGCCCAGAGGCTCCAGTCTAAGCACATGGAGAATGTCACTGTATACAACACCTGTGGAATTCAGCAACCTCTACCACTAATTGCTGAGTGGGGACCTACCTATCTTTTTATAGTCTAATTCAACCACTTTGACTTAATTCCTTCTTTTAATCTATTCTCACAGTGTATTTCACAATAAAACCAACAAAACAGTAAATAAGAACTGAAATTGTAGTTTAATTAAAAATCAAACAGGTAAGAAATGTTATTTTTGAAGCCTCAGTCACATAATAGCACCAGGGGATAAAAAAATAGGACAAGGGTTAATCAGCGTATTAATGGAGATCTTGGTGGCTTTCTTCAATTCAGGGGATGAACAAATAAGGGACAGTATCAGAGGAAGAGAAACAGGGAGCTTAATTTTCATGCAGAGTGTAAAAACCAAAACATATTGTGTTTAGAATATTCAGCCCTTCTAGATGAGTCAAAGATTTGACAAATTTTGTGATTTCTTTCAAGATAAATTTTTCTTCTTTCAAATGTTAGAAATGTATCATGAAATGAACCAATTTCTATTTTATTGTGAATCAATACACATGGATGAAAAGAACAGTGCTGGGCTGTCGAGCATTGCTGCCTTTCTTCTGCAACCAGTTGCCTCCTTTAACGTTTGGAATCTTTTTCCTTTTCAAGGGAGGAGTTGGTTGTTACAGATCTTTTAAAAAATTATTTTAATTTTTTAAATTTTTAAAGTAAATCCTCTTGCCCTTGAGCTGAAAGCATGTTCTGCCAGGTCTGAGCTGAGGACTCATTCCTCTGTGACTTCTCAGGTAGGGCAGTGATTTCTTTACATCCATGTAAGTCACAAAGCTCTACATGCTCAAAAGATGACTGTACAATATTAACACAATTATTTTTCCCTTTATTGGTGTACAAATGCTGTTCGTTCCTCTCTTGTTCCTTCCACTTGAAAAAATCTTGGCCTGTGTTACAAGACAGTAAGTAAAACCTGAAGCCACTGGCAAAGTGCAGATGTGTCATGCCAAGCAGGAGCTCCAACAGCACAGGTTACTTTGTGCTCCAAAGCAGGTTTCTGTTCTACCCTCTGTCAAGCACAGTGTAACCAAAGCACATCAATTAATCAGCTTTGTAATTTATTTTTTTCTAACCCATTCCTAGATGAGAGTGACATCAGACAAGTCATTGAGACTCGTGCTCTCCACGTTCAGGAACCTGCGGGAGGAGCTCTGCCATCTGCAGGATGACCTGGGGGTAAGTCACACTGCTCTGCCCCTCTGGCCTCAGCCTCTGGTTTTACCTGCCACCAGGAAGTCTGGCACAAAGACACTTCAGCTGTGAACCCCGGGTGCTTTACTGGTGAAGGACCTGCAAGACTTGTCCTGTGGGTGAGGGCAGGTTTCTTTCTAGCAGGGGTTTTCTGAGGTTCAGTTTGTTGAAGCCTAAAAACCCAAATACTTTCAAAGGAAGAAAAGACCCGGCCAAGTGAAATTAGGTGGAAAGTGCTGAATTGGTCTGTATGGTGCTGGTATCTCTGCAGTGGTGTAAATGCATGGAGCTGTTTCTGCTTTTAACTCTGACAAGGAGGACACCCCAAGTGCCTCTTTACCAGCACTGTCCAGGAATGGGGAGCCCTCAGGTCCAGTCACTCCTGATAAAGCTGTGTCTCCTGCTGCACAGGAAAGGTGTTGTCAGCTGGTGGCTTTAGCAACTCAGGTGGTTCTCCAGCTGGAGCTGGAGCTCCACAGCTACTGATACAGCTGGATACGTAGAGAGTTGCTGCTAGACAGGTGGAGAGTTGCTCCACAAGCAGGAACATGTCCCACAGCAGCCCAAGCCCTCAGCCCCACTGGAAACTTCACAGCACACACTTGTGAAATGCAGTGTAGGGAGCAGAGAGGGAGTTTTAAGGGTCATCTTCAGCATGGAGCAAGGAGTCCGTTCAGTGAAGTCGTTTCAGTTTAGGTATTTTTATTGGTTTGTTTCATCAAATAATTCATTCTAGGACAGAGTTGAAAGAGCAGTGTGCAAGATCTCAGTGCTTACACACAACACAAGGCCACAGACACTACAGTTTCAAGAAGACAGATGATTTTCTCAGTTCTAAAGCCTCACTCAGTATGTTGCATTTTGAATATGTAAACATTTACTGAGGAGTTGCAGCTATTGACCACAAACCCTTTTGTCTTACAGAAATTAGAAACTGACAATGTCTTACTGAAGAAGGATTTGGCTTTTAAAGAGTCTCAAGTAAAAGAATATGAAACTATGTTGGCTTCTCTGAGAGACAATAATCGTCAGCAGCAGGTAAATCTAAAGCATTTTCATTGTAATTACACAGCCCAAAACTGGCCCATACACTGTGTTCTGAGTGTTCTGAGTGACTGCTGCCTGGAATATGTTGGTGTATGTGTGTGATCCTGTTATTCCTTAAGGAACACTGCATTCATGCCACTTCTGGTCTCTCCAGCAAGGGCTCAGGGACAGCACTGCCAAGTGCCGCTGCCTGGAGGAAGAGCTGCTGTGCCTCCGGCTCACCGAGGGAGAGAAGGATTGTCAGCTGAAGGAGCTGGAGTACTGCAAGCGGGCCCTGGAGCAGGAGATCCAGAACCTCAGGCTGCAGGTGACAGACATGTTCTGTGTTCAGCAGCTGTTGTTCATGTGTGACAATTAATGATCTAAGCTCTCATTTTAACATAATACTTCATTTTCTGCAGAGCTGCTCCAATCCCACCCTGCAGACCACCACGGACGAGCTCTCCAGCCGTTATGTGGAGATGATCAATAACCTGAGAGAGGACAAAGATCGGGAGATCCGCAGCCTCCGGGTGAGCTGTTGAACATGGCACAGGGCATTCC